GTTCAAGTACTGCCATGCTATGTCGGGCCATGCTACGTCCACGCTTTGGCCACACGACAAAAGCTGATCCATATTTACTTCGCTGACAGTTGCCAGGTAATTCTCGGGATGAAACCAAGAAGCATTATAAGCGAAGTAATAAGCTAAATCCAGCCCAGTATCTGCCAGATACTGTTGTCGGCGCTCTTCGAAAACAAAAATACCCTCGGGGCCAGGATAACCCATGCTTCCAACGTTCTGCGGAGCCGTGTCACCCATCTGGCTCGCAACAGAAGTAAATTCGCTGAGAATCGTTGCAGGCCCATAGATTTCCATGGCAACATGGTAAGACGAAGGTGTCGTGCAGCTGTCGGGGCTCGTGCAACCGGCCAGTCGTAGTAAACGATCCAGCGAAGTAGATTCCAGTCCTAAGCGATAAGTGTAGCCAAGTATTTCGGACACCAATATGCCGGCGATCTCGCTGATGATGATAGCCGCATCCCAGTCGCCAGAGGAAACGCCAATAGGCATCGAGATCCCTTCGAGAGTGATGTTTGACCGACTCTCTTGCGGTACCGCCTCCGGTAAGCACGTCTGGGCACCGTATGACATGCTGAACAGAAAAAACACTTGGGACGGACGTGGAAACATCGCAAAGGAATGTCCCTGAACTCACAGTGCCACGGGCGACACAGGATGCTACATCTTGAACCTGTAACGACAAATTGTGCGCGAATCCTCGTTGTGTCGACAATGATGAGGAAAAAACTTTTGAATAGCAGACCTGCTCGTGAGATGGATTCACAGTGAACGCCAAACAGAACATTATCATGCGAGAAACTCATAGACTCAAGCGTATTACTGCAACTGTCAAAACGAACTCGATCCCCACTAAAAACGTCAAGTCTTCATGTGCCAACATTAAGCATTGCTGAAATTCAACTTTTCGTGATCTTTTTAACATGTTTCATGCTTTGGGGAGCAACTTTGCCGACTCATGGTTGGCTGTGCATGATTCGCCAAATTCTTGCATGTAAACACGAAGCCATTCCAAGTGCATCATGAAATCATTGATATGTCGAACACTCGGAACCTACTCGCAGGAAAAGAAAACAAGGAGCAAACCACGGATTGCAATGCTCCAGTAGCATCAAAACTTCAGATTGCAAGCAACATTTTTCTGACTGCATCCACACACACACACACACACACTCATTCATCCAGACACGGTGTCCATCTATGCAAGATTCCATCCAACCAACAATGAAGTTAATCTAAAATCTCGCCAGTGTGTTTTACATGTCTTTATGAGCTGTCGCAAAAATCGGCCTGTCCAAAGTGACAGCCTTCACTGGAAACCTGCTTGGGATCCTGGACCACTTGAACAACTCTGCAAAATCTGTTCTGATGACTTAACAAAGTTTTGCTGACAAGTGACGGAGGCAGTCAGTTTATTCTGAGCGAACTTTGCAAAAAGTTTTTTGCCAGAGAACAAACTATTAAACCAAGCCGGAGAGAAGAAACTAACCAACTCGCGGCCGGAGTCGTTTCTTCGAGGAAAAAACTGACTCTGAGTGGAGGAATTTGTTTTTCTACATAGACAAACTGTGGGAGAGAGGTTTGTTTTCAGAAGGAAAATCAAACTCCGATTTGTTTCAGCAGTGGAAAAAACAAACTCCGTTGGAAGAAGTTTGTTTGTTTAAGTGACGCTAGAGGGCGGCGGGGGGCAGAGGGGGTCTGATTTTCCAAAACAAACTCTGGAGGAGTTTGCTTTTCCTGGGAAGAGTTCAACCTTCAGAGTCCGTTTTTCCTTCTGAAAACAAACCTCTCCCCCCAGAGCTTGTTGTCTGTGCAAAAACAAACCCCTCCATCCAGAAGTTTGATTTTGTAGGCCCTTCCCTCCAGATTTGTAGGAAAAACAAACTCCCCTGCACTTCCCCTCGAAGTATGTCGGCGAAACCTTCCTGCTGATGCCGATCTCACCATGCTGATGCGATCAGTCGCGCACACACCGAGAAGTTTGCCAGGTCTGACACCCTTCCATTGTGCCGCAGTACACTGTGCACTGCGAAGCAACTCCTAAGCGCCCTCACCAGCTCGGTGACGCGAAGCTCCAGGCCTGAAAATCTGTCAGCAAGCCCGAAAAAGGCTCATGAGATCCTGTGATCTCTCGCCGAAGATCCTTCCTAGGCACAGGATCGACCGCGATCAGTCGTCGCTCCAGTGCCACACGCTGCTTTAGCTCCCACACATGGTCAGAAAGCAGCAAGAACGTGTCATCTGTGCTTTCCCTCTCGAGATGCTCGGAGGTTGGCTCCGGCTCCATGAGGCCATGAGGTCCTCAAGACGTGTGACGAAGAAACTGCTCGTTCCGTTCCCAGCTTGAGATCACAATTTTTTGGCGAACTTGCAAGTGAGGCACAAATCCTTGGAGTACACTTGCATGCAGAAGCAGCACTTTCATATTGAAGCACCAGCGACCCGGGGCTGGGCCCACCCCCCTTCGACGAAGGGGGGCTTGAAGGGGGGCTTCAAGCCCCCCTTGAAGGGGGCCTGAAGGGTCGGACCCTTGAATGAAAAATTCCAATAGCGTTTCGAGAGTCACCAGGAGTGTGCAATAATCAAGCAACAACAATCAAACAGAAATCTCAATCTGCTCCAGAATGCAATCACTCGGTCTAAGACTTTTGTCTGGATGCAATGAGCCAGTCTTGAGCCAATGCCAATCGTAGGCATTGTGTCCGTGGGTCCAATATGAGCCGGAGAATGACCATGCAATATAACACGGTCCCTTGATTGTCGCGGGGCACGTCGACAATCACACCTGTACAATCTCCGCTCATTTACTGGTTCTACAATCATACTGGAATAGCAACGAAATAAGAATTGGAATCAATGAAGTGCGAATCGAAACAATCAAGCAGTCAATCTACCGGTTGAAACGCAATCACGAACTAAGCTGGCAATCTCACTCTTTTGCAATCAGAACTGAGCAATGTCATGCAGTCGCCCAATCTCCAACTATGTGCAATCATCATCCAGGAAACAATGTCTCCGTCGGTACATCGCAATCATAGAAGCAGATGGAATCAGCAATCAATCGGCAGTATCTGCAGCGATTGTCCAGTTTGTCCAGTGCTCAATCCGAGCAACTTGTTGCCAAAAGCCGGTGCAATCTGAGCAGAAAAGAATCAAAACCAAAATCAATGCTGTCGAGAGGCAGCAATACACGCTCATCAATGTAGAACGCACAATCCACTTTTGCTGTGGATCCTCAATCCACACGTGCTGTGGATCAATAGGCCAATCGCTACTGGCCCTTGCGTTTCTTCTGCGCAATGGCTGCCGCAGTGGCAACCATTACACTGTATTCCTGACTCGTCAATGACGACGACGAAGATCCGGAATCGTTCAATCCGGGCCCCAATCCTGCACTTGCTGCAATGTCGTCAGCCGGAGCTTCTTCGCAATTTTCCGACAATAGCATGAGTTCAGGGACACCCTCAATCTGCATGCTCGAGACAGGGAATGTGCAATGACGGTGCACAGCTTTTGTCGGGTACCAATGCTCGTAGCTCGAATTGTGCATCAGGGAAGCCAATCCTTCCACATTCAATGTAGCCAACTCGAGGACAATGCAATGCTGACGAACAATCCCATCCAGGCAATAGGTGTAATCTCCACCAATCTGGTTCTGAGTGCTGTCAATAGTCAAGCACCAAGAACAACTGAGAAACGAGCAATTGTGATACTTTTGGAAACCACCAATCCCTTCCGGATTTTTCAATCTTGTGTCCATCATCAATCTCGTGGGCCGGAAGATCAATACTTTCACCAATTCCGCGCACTGACTGCGCGAGAATCGGTTTTGGCGGTACCAATGGCACAATTTGCGTAGGCTCGCATCCACACTGAATTGTGGATTCAATTGCCCCAATGGCGTGGGGATATTGGTGACTTGTCCGCTCACCAATGACTCAATGATCGAAGCTGGCAATGCTAAGCAAGCAAACCATTCGACCAATCCATCAACTGGTCTGTGATCACGGCATCTGAACAATGTCACTGCAATTGCCCGGGTGAAAATCGACTTCAATGCACGATAGCATTCAGCCGTTTTGTCCAATAGCAGGAATGCCAGATTCAATGAGAATACGGGAATTCCGTCCGCAATGTCTGTTGCTCTCATGTGGGCAATGCATCTGTTGCACATGTGAATCAAGTTCAAGAATGCGCAATTCGCATAACCACAATGCGCCGAGTAGCCATCTGGCGTCATTGTGCGTGACCATTTGTTGGCAATGGTCCAGCCCAATTGAAGCTCAATGCCTGTAATCTTCCCTGTAAATCGAGACATCTGTTGGCAATAGGCAGACAATGCATCGTGGATCATTTCAGCAATCTCAAGAATCACTGGGCAATCCAAGTGAATGATTCCTTCATGTGACGTAGTGATCAATGGTCTGCGTGACCTCAATCAGGGCATTCTTCCATTGGTACAATTCCAGAGTTGCAGCAATTGATGCCAAATGCACGTAGAAAATCGCGAATGCCTCACGCAATCGGGTCAATACCATCCATTCTGGCCAACGCAATTGGTGGTTGGGTTCGTGAATGTGGTCACTTACCTGACTCACAATGTTGATCCAATGGCGAGCTCTGTGGCAATGTCACGGGAGGAGCTCCCATGATGAATTCCGGTGCCGGAGCCGGAGTGGAAGCCATGGCAATCAGAATCAATCTGAGGCAATCGTGAGAGCGAATCTGCTTTCCAATCTAAGAGCAATCGCAAGCGGGAGCAATAAGTAAATCAACAATTCACAAAAGTACACACTCCAGGTTCAAAATCATCTCAAAACGCTTTCAAATCCTGTTCAAATCATGCTATGTACAATGTTGCCAACGCAGCAATGTTTGACCGAATCGGTTGGTGTAGAGCTCGAAACAATGAATGTTCGGCTCTTCATGCCAATGCTATGTACACTTCCCAACTAAATGCCAGATCTCTTCATCCAATAAAAGTCAATAAATCCTTGTTTCTTGCAATTCAAACACAGGGTTGGTCAAAGACCTCCCAAGGAAAATCTTCCTGGTCAATGTGTCTCAACAGGAATGATAAAGTCATGCCAATGCACATGCTGAGCTCAAACCAAATTCACTCAATTCTCACCTCTTCTTTCTTTTGATACAATACGCACTCTGAGGCACAAGCATGCGTGATGAGATATGCAATAGACTCCAATCACCTGCAAGCCAGGCGGTCCCTTAGACAAGGCGAGTCAATTCTTCCGTGAAACAGATGAAACAAGGATTGTTTGGTTTTGGGGTTTTCTTAACACAATGAAGATCGAGCACAATCGAGATCAACTCACATAAGACAGTGAGGTTCTCAAGACAGTCACGACCAAGACAATAGGCGTGAAAACAATGATGGAATAAAGGCAATGACTCTTCACAAAGGACAAATGATGAGCAAATGAAGGACAAATCCTCAACGTCCGCAGACAATCTCGGACAAATCTTCACAATCTGGGGACGAATGAAGGACGAACTCAAGCAAGCAATAGACTGAACCGAATGACATACAATAGACAGCAGCCATGGTTCAATGCTGGGCCTGACAAGATCAGAACATGTCCTTGCAAAATGTC